AATGTATATTTCAATTTAAATCAATCAATATATTTTTATATCCAATTATACAATTTTTTATAGATTTAGTTTAATGTTTCTTTTCAGAATTTGGATTTTATTTGTTTCAACCCTCGTCTGGACTTGTACTGGAGCAGGTTTACCTAAAATATTATCAATTAAAATTATTCAATGGAAATTTATATCAAAATAATATTTGATTGATAATTTGTCTATTTTTTGCTGTTGGTTTTTCGTTGGTAGTGTTGAACAGCTGATCAAATCTTTGGGCGTTTAATTAGGGATTTTTTTTATATTTTTTGTTACAGTTCGGTTTTTGTCTTTCGATTTTGTGATTCTTTTAAGTTTATGTTGTCCCCCAGGGGAACATGTTCTTACGTGTTTACGGTTCTTAGCGAACCCGGGGTCCCTAGCTATTCTTTTATTGTTTGTAGGTAGGTATTGTTGAACAGCTGATCAACACTCTTAGCGTTATATTAGGGAATCGTTTATAGTATTTGTTTCATGTCTGTTTTTGTTCTTCGGCTTTTTTTTTGTGATTTGTTTTAGGTTTTTGTTTGATAGATTGTTGTTTATGGGTTATTGGATATATTTGTTTTCCTTTTTTATGTCAGGTATTTTTGGTTTTTTATGTTGTGTTTAATTGTATTGATTTTTATTTTTATTTTTAGAACTTGGATTTAATTTTTGCTTTATATTTAACCAAGGATTTTTTTGGAGCCAGGTAACTACTTTAATTTTTTTTTTTTTCATTAATTTCATTAAATATTTACTGGTATATAAATCATATTCATTTAATTTACATAAATTATCTTAATGTATTTAAATCATATGATTCAACTTAACAAATAATAATAATTTTTTAATCAATGACGTTCATATAAATATATTTCAATTTAAATTATTCAATCTAAATTTATTTCAAAATATTCAAATTGTAATTCATATTTATGTTTCTTCCAGAACATGAATTTTTTGTATTTCAACCTTTATCAGGATTCTTTCGGATGCCAGGTAAACCTTTAATAATTTTTTTTGCTTTTTATATCTTTAATATATAATAGAATAAAAATCAAATTAATTTAATTTACATAAAATATCATAAATTAATAATATTTAAATAAAATTTATATCATATGCTTCAAATTATCTCATATTAATAAACTCTTTATCAATAGCGTACTTAATTATAAAATATATTTTAATTTAAATTAAGCAATCTAATTTTATTTCAATTTATTCAAATCTTAATAAACATTTGTTTTTATGTTTCTTTTCAGAATTCAGATTTTTTGTGTTTCAACCTTCACCAAGATTCATTTTGAAGCCAGGTAACGCCATTCATTTATATTATTGAATTTTATACATAAATATTAGTGTTGTTTAATTCAAATTTATTTAACTTGCATAAATTATATTAAAACCATTAAAATATATGATTAAAATTAACTTATAATAACAAATTCATTAAAAGTAGAGTTGATATTTGTTTATTATAATTCACTTTAAATTAATCAATCTACTTTTATTTCAAAATATTCAAATTTTAATTCGTTTATTTTTATGTTTCTCTTCAGAACTTGGATTTCTATTTTGTTTCAACCATAATCAAGCTTGTATTGGGAGCTATGTAACAATTTTAATTTTTCTTTTTTAATCTTATATTTTAAATATTGAATAGTATTAAAATCAAAATTATTTAACTTATTTTCAATTTTTTAAAACCCTGAAATCATATGATAAAATTTAACTAATAATTTTAAACTTTTTATAAATGACATTCATCATTATAAAATTTAATTCACTTTTAATTAATCACTCTAATTTTACTTCAAAATATTCAAATTTTAATTCATTTATTTTTATGTTTATTTTCAGAACTTGGTTTTTTTTTTGTTTCAACCTTCTCCAGGATTCGTTCGGGAGTCAGGTAACGCCATTAATTTATATTATTGAATTTTATACTTTAAATATTAGTGTTGTTTAACTCAAATTTATTTAACTTACATAAATTATATTAAAACCATTAAAATATATGATTAAAATTAACTTATAATAACAAACTCATTAAAAGTAGAGTTGATATTTGTTTATTATAATTCACTTTAAATTAATCAATCTACTTTTATTTCAAAATATTCAAATTTTAATTCATTTATTTGTATGTTTCTTTTCAGAACTTGGATGTTTTTTTGTTTCAACCATAATCAAGCTTATATTGGGAGCCCGGTAACAATTTTAATTTTGTATTTAAAATATTGAATAGTATTAATATTAAAATTATTAAACTTAAATTTTATTTTAACCTTAGCCAAGTTTAATTCGGTTAACCTTTTTTAATTTTATACCTTTAATTTATAATGGATTAAAAATCAAATTAATTTAATTTACATAAAATATCATATAACATTTAAATCATATGATTCAATATAACTAATAATAATAAACTCTTAATCAATCGCGTTCATACGAGAATTTATGAAATATATTTCAATTTAAATTATTCAATCTAATTTTATTTCAAAATATTCAAATTTTAATTCATTTATCTTTATGTTTCTTTTCAGAACTTGGATTTTTGTGTATTTCAACCTTCCCCACACAGCAGATATATTTATTTAATGTTTATTAAATACTGTCTAAACATTAGTCGAACAGAAAAAAAATGTTTATAACTCATGCCAATAAATGTTATGCAAACCTTGATGATATATTTTTTATCTATTAATTTCCATGGATTGTCTGATCCATTTACCATATAGAAGTTCAAATATTGACTGTTATATAATGATTATAATATGAAAGTGATAAATTTTTTTTAAAACAATGAGTATCAGGTATAATATTATATATATTTATATATATATATATATAATGAAACTAATATAAAAAATTACAATCCATGTTAATTAATATCATAGATATTCTTGACCATTTTATGGCAATATGCTATGTAGTTTTAATAAATTTCCTACAAAGAGGTATACTGCCAATTTACTTTATCGGGAGTAATCATATATACTCATACGTAATATTGAGAAAAATAATATATTTTTTTGTGTTAAAATATATAACATATATTATATGTATCTTTTTCCTTGTATACAAAATATAATTATTTATTTATTAAACCGCAGTAACTATGGTCGTTGGCTGTAAGGGAGGAAACTGTAGGGGAGGAATAGTGAACTGTAAGTTGGAGACACATTTGTGTATGTGGGACATAGCTTTGTTGCTAAAGACCCAATGATCTCCCAGCACTTTTCAGTGACTATGGCCAGACACAACGCTACACATTGCTTATAATATACACTATATTATAATATATGATCGGGTAATCATAAAAATCTAAATCAATTAGAAATACTGTATTAAAATTAACTTTGTTTATTTTGTTGAACATAACAAGATTTACTAGAAAATAGAAAAAATTATTTAGTTGATTGTCTTTTGTAGGAGTCTTTTGATAGCAAATGGAGCTTGAACCAAATCATATTTTATGATTTCTTCTATTTCATCTTTGCATACATGTTTAAACTGTCCTTGTTTTTTTCATAGCATCTGCAATTTTAAGCCAATATTATATATTATATTTAATTAGACAAAAAAGTAAATAACAAAAATAGAAACCAGTCGTTGCCTGGATTACAGAATACCCAGAATATGTATTAGTAAATGTTAAATATTTTTAATAATAAATATTTATTATAAACAATATTATGTATTATATTGCAAATATTTTACATGCGTAAAAAACATGGAATCATAACAAATAAGTATATTCTTTCCAAATATAACACTACAAATGCTCAAAGAACAAAATTGAGTTTTCCTTTTTTTCCATTGTAAAAATAGTGTTGTAGCAACTCATCTGTACATAGTTTGCACATTATTTTGCACACCATTGCCTTGACATTTTCCCCACCTATATATGTAAGTTCCTTAACCTAGATATTAATTGTTTTGTTTTTTAGATGAATATATTATATTATAAGTTTTCTAATTACTACAAATTATAAATATTACCACACATGTTCTAAATTCATTATCACCAGCAATTTTATCTTCAAAAGTTTGTAAGTCTATAATTTTGTCTATTGGTAATGGACAGTCATTTAACTGATTGACGGGAAAATGTTCCTCAGAGGCCCGAAGCTGATCTTCCAATTGTAACTATAAAGACTAAATGATTCAAAATGACCAATTGATTGCTTTGAATTTGTTTTAATTCAATTTTTAGAAAAGCCATATTTTTATTCACATAATTTTGGAATTCCATATCCCCTGAATAAGAAAATAATAATGTATAGTAAATATTTTTATAAGACTGTAAACATTTATGAAATATTATTGTATATTATAACATTACCTGCAGGTTGTATAATATTAGAATTGAAGCTTGACAAACCTTCTACAACATTACTATTTTTAAACCATTTAGTTGGTTATCTAAATATAATAATAATTAGACATTGTTAAAAAATAATTAACAATTAATTAACACTATAAAGGGGGTATCACAGAGATATGACAAATATGATAATTTTTATTC